GAATAAATTTTTTAAAAAAATAAACAGTAACTCTCTTCACCAGAGCTTCACATAAATTCCTATGACAGACAAATGATTAATTTCCTTAATATATAAAGAGTTCTTACAAACTAATAAGAAAAGGCCTTTAAAAAACTCTCAAAAAATGAGAAAAAGGGCGTTTACAAATAAGATACACAAATGGATTATAAACATGTGAAAAATGTTCAATGTTACTTGAAATTTAAAGTAGTGAAAATGAAAATCATGAGATAGCATTTTTCAGCTATCAGATTAACAAAGATTGAGAAGTTTGATTACGCACGGAGTTGCTAAGGGTGTGTGAGAGTAAGGTCTCATGCACAGTTCTTGAGAATATATATTGGCACTACCTCTTTTTGGAAAGCAATTTGGCAATATCTGTCCCATATTTAAATACACATACTCCTTGAGCCAGCACTTCATTCTAGGAGAGTAGTCTCCTCACACAGGCACACAAAGATGCAAGTACAGAAGTGTTTATTACAGTGTTAGCAAAAGAGTGGAAATGACCCAAATGCCCATCAGGAGGGGACTTGTTGTATGGATAGACTTACAAGGGAATGCTATGCATCTCTTAAAAAGACTGAGGCTTACTCGTAGGCATACATCCAGGAGAAATGAAAACACATGTCCACAAAGAGACTAGTTCAGAGAATTTAATAACAGCTTTATTCACTATAGCCCCAAACTGGAACAGCCCAAATGTCCATCAAAGGAGAAAAAAACAAACGGAGGCATAGTCATTTGATGGAACGCCCCTTAGCAACAATAATAAAAGGAATGAATGGGAGGCCAGAGAGCTTCACGCGTCCCAGGAGATGCCCTGGTCACTGGTCCTGCCGGAGGCGGTGGCCCAGGCCTTTCCCGAAGGAAGTTCTCACACACACCACCAGGAATGAATTTCAAAAGCATTTTGTTAAAATAAATCTGACACAGAGGAGTATGTACTGTAGGATTCCATTCACGGGAAGTCTAACAGGCGAAACTAACCCATGGTAACAGAAATCAGAACAGTGGTCGCCTAGAGGGGGTGCAGATGACTGGAAAGGGCAGGAGCACTTTCGGGAAGGAGGGAGACGGAAATGGGCTGTTGCTGACCCGATGTGTACAGTTGTCTAAATCGTTGAATTGTACATGTAAGATCTGTGCTAGTCACTGAATTTAATTTTGCCTCAACTTAAAAACAAAATTTATTGAACTGAAAACACCACCACTCTAGTCAAACTTATTGTGTCCTGAAGTGGAATGATCTCCAAATAAATTTAGCAGGGGTGGGGGTGAGGAATGGAGTGGGGGTGGAAACAAGGACAGCAAATGTACATGCTATGCTCCCCTACACAGCAAAGAGGGTGTGCATCTCTTACAGAAGTTCATGTATGTAACGTCTCTGGAAGGACAAGGAACTGCCAACAGTGCCTGTCTTTCTGGGGGATGGAGGCCTTGGGTCTGAGGTGGGAGGGATATGTCTCAATACTTTTTGTACTGTTGAAGTTTCTTTTACCGTGTTCATATTTTTTTAAGTATAAAAATCAGTTTAAATGTCTTGACTGGGGTCCTAAGGTTGAATTTTAGTACCTCTCTCCTCTCGGTAGCTGGAAGCAGGGCATAAGCGCTGCTCTAGAGCTGCCAGCAGTCGGCCTGCGTCTCGGAGGGTGCGGTGGGCGTTTGGACAAGCAGATCAAGGAAGACATTCCCTGGGCAGGGAAGGGAGAACGTGAGCCCTGGCTCAGGGCACCAGGGAAAAGCAGCTGAATATCTGATTGCAAGGACTGCAGCCTGAAATGGTAAGCTTTCTGTTAAGGAATGTAAGAACCCATCCCATGGTTTGGAAGATTCATCTTGATGAAATATTTTAATGTGAGAAGGAGCTTCCCTGGTGGGTTGGGAGACCAAGCTTTTAAGAAACTGAGGGGTCAGGGAGAGAGAGTCCTGGAAGGGTTCTGAGCCAAGAACAGGACTGCAAGGTATCATTTTTAATCAATCAGCATTTGGTCTTTATTTCCACAAACAGGAATGTGCCATCAGGGGCCTTACCCAAGACTGTTCATATTGATTTTGAGAACTGGACTCTGCTACTGACATGATTCCCTGCTTGGAGTTCAGAGCAAAAGCCTCACTATCCATTATTTTCCTTTGTCTTCGAGAGACGACAGGGAGGGGAGAGAACTTGGTGCATCCCAGGAGATGCCATGCTCACTGGTCCTGCCAGAGGCGACCGCCCGTCTTTCCCTAAGGAAGTCCTCAGCTCAGAGGGACAGGGAAGGATCCCAATTGTGGGATCAGAGGGTAGGGAACCCCAGGTTCTGATCTTTGGAATGTATAGGATCATTGTGGACCCCTGGCAAAGCAGCTGAAACAGTCCTGCTTAGGATTATGTGTTCAGCTAACCTCGGGCCCCAAGGTCTGATCCAGATGCCTTGGAGAGAACCCAAGGGTCTTGGGTAGAACCACTTTACAAAATCTGAGAGACAAAATATGGACCTTGGGAAAAGATCTGAAAGGACTTTTAGCAAATGGCTAGGACCCAGATGAGCACAGGGTAGGTAGGCTGTGTGACAGACTCCAAGATGACACAGCATGAGGACCATGCAATGCAGATGGAGAATCGTATGGGGTAAGGGGGACAGGGTCTCACAGATCCTCTAGTCCAGCCCTTTCCTGATGGAAACTGAGGCCCATAGAGTGGACTGACTTGTGTCAGGTGTTCGGACCAAGCTCAGTTTATGACTCAGACCCTAGCCTCCTAATCCAGTGGGTCTCCTGGAGGAGTCTTGGCCTTTAAAACTGGAAGCAGAGCTGATGCCCTTGACCAGATAACCACATACTCTCTTCCCTCCCAGGAACTTATTTCCACTGAATTCCATGGAAAGAGAGCCACTCAAGTAGCCCGGAGCAAGGGCACCTCTGAAAGGATAACACCGGCCCTGTTCATCACCTAACCAATAGCTCCCCCTCTTTTTTTCCTGCCAGAACCCAGGTTTTGTAGTGGGTGGAAATCTCTTCATTTCGGAAAACACAGGCCAGTTCCCCAAGCCCAAGAGATGGCTCCTAATAGGTCGCAAGGTATTCTAATAGTTATTCCAATTACCCTTTGTCAATGATTGTCCCAAGGGTGGGCATGTGACCTAGTTCTGGCCAGTAAGACATAAAGGGAAGTCTGTAGGGCTTCTGGGATGCTTTTGCTTTCCTAATCAAAGGGAAAGATGCAGCAGACCCTGCCATGCCCCCACCCACGCCTCTCTTCCCGCCTTCGGTACAGATGTGGATGCTGCATGCGGGTCAAGCACGCGAGGAAAGAGGGGCCAGACCCCCTCAGGATGGCAGGGCAGTTGTAGGACCCAAGCCCTTGGTGGGCTGAGTGAGCTGCTGGACCTATCAGCAGCGGGCCACCTCCAGACTCCTTAAGTAGACATTAAGTGCCCTTATGCTTTAAGCTCCTGTTAGCTGGGTTTTTCTCTCTTGTGGCCGAAAGCAATCCTGGTTGGCAGTGTCCATAACTGTGAGTGCGAGCCCAGCCCACTTCGAGAAGTTGTGTAGGAACAGCCCTTGGTCAGCCTCCCCTGCCGTGGGATCTGCTCTCCTGAGGCCCCCACGCAGCTCTCTCGTCAGCCCTCAAGCAGACGGAGTCTGGCAGAGTCCCCCACCCACCCAGCAGGCCCCCCCATCAGCCTGGCCGGTCCTACCCATCTTACCTTGGATGACCTACCCTGACCTCGCCCGCCCCCACAAGGTGTGCATCTCACTGACCACGCCGGTCACTTGTTTACCAAGCACACTTACGGGGGCCTGCTCTGGGCCAGGGATAGTGCTGGCACTGGAGCCAGCAGGCAGAGTAAGTCAAGAGTCCCCAGGCTGGTATGGCGGACACACCCACAGCAGTGGTGTACAGAGCAGTGATGAGGGGTGGGTTAGTTTTACCTTGGAGGGGGGAGCAGGTCGCCGCACTCATACTGTTCTCTCCAGCCAGATCCTTTGCTTCTTTAGGCAAAGATCAGCCCTGTCTGCTCCAACACTGTCCTGAGCCCGTCACAGAGGCGGCGGTGGAAAGGGGCTCTTGTTGGATGGTCTCCCCTGAGCAGGCAGGGCCATGGCATGGGCTTGCCACCCCCTTTTCTCCACAGGCCTTATAGGGCCAAGGCCCCTAATGGCTAGGGGAAGGAGCAGAGGGTATGGAGGCTGAAGGCCCGGATTGGAACCCTAAATGCTACGAATTTGATAACTGAAGACATGACTTGCTTGGTTTCCCTGAGCCTTGGTGTTCTTGAAAGACAAACAAGGATGCTAAGGCCTGCCTATCTCCCAGGGCTGCTGCAAAGGTCAAATGAGATAAGTGGTGGCTGGACCAAGTAGAGGGAGGCCTGGCACAGGAGGTGGGCATGGAATAAGTGTTCATTCATCCGCCTGCCCCTGCCCCCCCACAGAAACCCAGAGACAGTGAGCACAGTGCACCTTTTTATGGGAGGCAGCTGGGGTGGTCAAGAATCCTCCCACCCAAGGAACCAGGCACATGCCGGGTCCTTGAGGGGGTTTCTTTGGGTTCCCATGCTTTCTCTTGCCTTGAAAAATGCCGCTGACGGACCTCCTTTATCTGCCACAGCCTCTCTTCCAGGGCAGCACAAGGAGGAAAGAACATGGGTTGTTGGGCAAGAGGGTGGGTGTCTCTCCCGTCTCTCTCACAGGGGTCCTGAGGGTCCCCACAGTCATTCTGGGCTCTTTGCCCTGGCAGCTTCAGGTAGATTCGCTCATGGGCAGAGGCTGTCTGCTCAGGGACCACTGTTCATTCTCAGCGATGCTCTGTCCCCACCAGGCATGACAGTGAAGGCCAGTCAGCAGTGGGAAGGTGTTTCCCAGGGGAGCTCCAACTCTGGAAGGACAGACAACTCTGAAGGGACCCTGCTCTTGGCAATTAACAGCTGTATCCACTCTGGACCTGCAGGTGAGGGACGACCCAGATACCCGAATGTGACCCCAAAGGAGACATCACTGCCCATACTTGGAGTGTGATCCCAGCTGTGTGGGGTGGCAGGAAGAGCCAAGCTGACCAGCCTGGGAGAAAAGGGGGTGCCGGAGGGCCCCAGCCAGGGGATCCAAGCGAATGGCGGCCCAGAAAACAAAGGGGCCTAGGAGTTGAAGGAAGTGCACTGGAGAGCTGGGGAAAGGGTCCAAACTGTCAGTTAAATGGAGCGAGGTAAAGAGGGGAGCTGGTTCGCCAGTGGTGTACCGTAGGTGATGTTGCCTGGAAGTTATCAGCTCAAATCCCTCATCCTTTGGCGCTGGCACTGTACTCCTGGTGGTTCCACGAGGCTCTGATTCCCACTCTCACTCCAGCTGTAGGAAGTTTCCCAGGACCAGACCTCTGTCCCTGGGCTGGGTTGTCCCTTCCAAGTGACAGGAATGATCCGAGGCAGCCCAAGGTCAGCAGCAAGAGGCACGGGCTCTGGAAGGTAGTTTTTTCACCTCCCAAGTTGGGATCTGATTCCCATTTAGACAACCTGGGACTAAGCAAGTGGACCTCAGAGCCCAGCGTGGGGCCAGCTCGAGGCTGCGTCGGGGAAGGAGCCAGCTTCACGGTCTCTCCAGCCTGCCTGTCCCAGAGATGATGGAAGCCAGGTGCCCCTTGGGAGGTTCCCTTCCTTTCCGAGCCTGCCTTCCCAGCCGCCCGATCCCAGCTCTGACCCGGCCTGGGTCTCTGTGGGGTGTAAGCATCATCGGGTCACTTTGGGGTGTGAGCCCCAAAGCTCAGCTGAAAGGTGTGCCGGAAGGTTCAGGAGTCCTCGGGAAGGCGGGGGCTGTGTTGTGGTCTCATGGCTTTTCCTAAACCTTAATTTGTGTCACATTAGCCCACGTAGGGAAACTTTCCAGGTCAAATATGACCCGTCCCCAGGTGTTGATGGCCAGAAACACAGAGAAGATTCCAATTATGTTCATCATTAGCCCTGCTTTCATCTGGAAAAAAAGAGAGGGCCAGAGTCAGTACCCGCAGTCAGGGGGCATCAGGACGGAGGAGCCACTGCCCCGCACTGGGAGCCTGCGCTCTTGGAGGAGACGCAGGATCATCAGTGCTCACAGCGTCCCTGGGAAGCAGGCGGGAGGGTGGGTTCTCTGCCTACTTGAACGTTTGGAAAACTGGGCCTCCGGGAGGCGACATGAGGCAACACCCCAGGCCACTCAGAGAATCACTGTGGGAGCCCCGGTCTGACTCTAGGGCCCGTGCTCACCCCAGCACCTTCACCGTCCCACAAGCACCTGCTGGCTTCCCAAGAGCCCCCCACGGCTCTTTCTGATGCCCAGTCTTTCTTCAAGCTCATTAACTGCTTTAAGCCCTGTTGTAGAGTTTTTAATAGGAATTAGGATTGAGTTTGTAGTCCATGGTTTCCGGACTGCACCCACTTTTTAACAATGCTCCCCAGGGTCCCAAAGATACCCAGCGGAAGCTCTGAGCAGCCCACACCTGACTGGGCTGAGGGAGGGACCCTCGCTCCCGGCCTGTCCCTCTCAGAGCTGCCCCCCTTCACCTGGCAGGGCCATGAGGCTCAAGCAGAACGGGAGAGAGGTCCTCCTCCGGCTGCCTCTCTCCCCGGACACTGCTCTGTCTCCCTGTCCCTGCTTCTACACCTGCAGACCCCTCTGTGGGTCAATCTCTTTGGCTGTCATTAGTGTCCATCCACCCTGGCCCATCTCAGCCCTCTCCCTCCTGACTGTCTTCACGGGTTCTTGCGAGTTCGTGAAGTCCATCTTGGCCATGTGGGACCCCCACCCTCGCCCCTTCTGAGTGTTCAGCAAGGGCTCCCCGAGTGGCTGCTGTGGCGCCTCCAGGTGGCAGATTCTGTAACCCACCTCTTAGCTCTGGGAGACAGAACAGCATGAAATGTGAGGCCATTTCACAAAGGAAGAGCAGCTGAGCATACATGCAAATAATGAGGGTAGATCTGGACTTTGGGCGGCATTCCCAAAACACGTGACGTCACGCGTCATTCATAATAAGGGGTCCCTCACGACAAAAGCATCAGAGTTGATAGGAGTAAACAAAAGCAGCTGCGTTACCATGTCATAAACCTTGATGTGTCCATAGGAAAACACGATGGCGTTAGGTGGGGTGGCCACGGGCAACATGAAGGCCAAGGAGGCACTCAGGGTACAGGGGAGCATGACGTACAGCGGGTTGAGGCCAATGGAACGTGACTAGGGGAAAACACAGCACTGCAGCGTCACATATACAAAGAGGAAAGCCCCGGGGATCATCCCAACTACTCTGCGCGTTCCCACCTCCGTGCCTTTGTCCTTCTGGGTCCTCTACGCTCTGCCATGCCCCTGGGAGATGGCTCTGCTGGGCCCCAAAGGCTGAGCTCAGAGCCATCTCCCCGGGAGGCCTTTCTGAACCCCTTCAATTCATTAAACATATATTTCCTGGGCACCTACTATGTGCCAAAGGCCATGCTGGCCACTTAGACTGCACTGAATCTTGAAGTGTTCCTGCAGCCCACGTGTGCACACGTCTGTCTGCCCTGCCACGGACCAAGAGAGCCTAGAGGGCAGGGACCGCCTCTTCTCACCTATAGATACACCTCTGTGTGCATGTGTTTTTGTATACATTTGAGGTCATTTTCAATATGGAATTTGGTACCTATCTTTTTTACTCTACAGCTTAAAATTCAGCCACATGTAATAGTACTTCGTACAGAGTACAAGACACTCCTTAAGTATTTTTTGAATGAATGAATGATATAATTCACCAACACTCATCAAAATTAATAATCTAGCGTGCGGATTTACATGCACAGGAGGGCAGACACGTATGCAAAGATGTTCATTACAACATCAGAATAGCAAAACACACAGGAAACAGACTCAATGGCCATCAACAGCAGGATGGTGAAATAAAATATGTGTATATGAACAATGGCTAGTTTGCATCTGTAAAGAAGAACCGAGTAGGTTTTATGTGCTAACATGGAAAGATCTCTAAGATCTACAGTTAGATTTTTAAAAATTTAAGGTGCAGAATAGGACCATAGAACGATACCATTTGTTTAAAAAGTGTGTGTGTGTGTGTGTGTGTGTATTACATCCAGAAGGATACCTAAGAAATTAATAACAGAAGTTGTCTCTAGGAGGAAGCTAGGGGATAGGGCCTACACTCTTTGGTATTGACATTTGTAAGCCATGTATATGTATTACATTTTTAATTTTAAAAAAGTACAGCCCTGGCCAGGTGGCTCAGTTGGTTGGTGCATCATTCTATATATGAAAAAAAAAAAAGGTTCAGTTCCCTGACAGGGTACATAACTAGGTTGTGGGTTCAATCCCTGGTCAAGGCATGTACGAGAGGCAGCCAATTGATCCATGTTTTTTTCTCACATAGATGTTTTGCTCTCTCTCTACCTCCCTTCCTCTCTCTCTAAAATCAATAAACATATCTTCGGGTGAGGATTTTTTAAAAAGTATACACAGTCCCGTTTTATTAAATGCCCTTCAAAACTCTGATTTTTAAAAATTGGCTTGATAACATTACATTGTATGAACATATAGCTTATTTCATCAATCCCCTATTATGGAAATATTTTATAATAAATAATTCTGTGATGTGCATCTTGATAATACAGTTGACCCTTGAGCAATGCGGATTTGAACTGTGCGGGTCTACTTACACGTGGAGTTTTTCAATCAATGTACAGTCAGCCCTCCATATCCCAGGTTTCCCATCTGCAGATTCAACCAATTGCAGATCAAATAGGAATCTGGGTTGTGGAGGGCCAAACGTATGCATTGCTCTATGCCATTTTATACAGGGGACTGGAGCATCTGCAGGTTTTGGTACCTGAGGGAGGTCCTAGAAGGAACCCCCCATAGATACTGAGGGACACTAGTTAAGTTCTGGGGGAGTCAAAAGTTGTATGTGGGTTTTCTACAGTGCAGGATTGTTCAACAGTCAACTGTGTATGTTTGGAGGCATCTCTGATGGTTTCCTAATACATGTTCCCAGCCATGAACTGCTGAGTCAAAGGGTATGAGCAGGTTTCAGGCTATGGCTCCTGTAGATAAACAGGCCACCGAAGAGGCTGCACCAAGTCCCTCTGGGAGAACCTGTAAGGTCCCAGCCAGGGGCCCAGCCTATTTCCCCTTTTATCCTGGCCCTGGGTGCCCACGGTGTGTGCACCTCATGTGGCTCTGTGACTCAGCTGGTGGGTAGCCACCTTTCCCTTTCCCCCTGCTGGGTCTCGAGGCAGGAGTGTGAGTGGGCCTGGGAGTAGCTGTGAGGAATCTTACTTGAGCTTCTGGTTCTAGAAAGACTTGTTTGGAAGGGCCTGGCCACCCCCTCAGGTTAAGGCCTCTGTCTGTCTGGTTTGGACCCTCGGGGCCACTGCTGGGGCTGGAAGTGACAACGCCAAACCTTTGCTAGAGGAGGGGAGACCTCACCACCCCATGCCCAGCATCAAAGGATGCTCCGGGGCGTATGTCCAGGCACCTTGCTTAGGGGAGGTGGGGCCACCTTGCTATTTCTAACACTTCCATCTTCACTTGGATCGAAAGGAGAAGCCACTTGGGTTTGCTTTTTATACACATGGACACGTTGGCAGCCAAATGGAAATTTACCAACTGCAATCCTGTGTTTAGGTTTTGTAAGTCTTGTTTCCTAGCTCCAGGACGGCAACCACAGCCTCTCCCAGGCTCGTTTGCAGTCCACAGAGGACGTTCATGCCTTCCTCTTACTTGACCCTCAGCACAAGTGTAAGAGGAAAGAACGTAGGTGACATGTTCGAGGATCCCATGGCCTGGACTCAGGTCTTCTGACTCCAAGCCCAGGGCTCCTCCTGACCACCTTGAGGTCAGTACTGCCACGCCATGAGTGACAGAAGAAAATGCACGGGAAGGTCACACCCGATTTTCCTATAAGCTCTGCCTTCTAAGTCCCAACTCAACAACGCGCTTGCCCACAGCACACTGATCCCTGATCCTTGGACTCACCACGCAAGGCTTCTGGGAGCCTTCAACCCTGCACCCCATTTCCTTTCCTTGGGCTCTCCATCTTTCCAGAATTCCCTCTCCCTCATACTATCCCCAAGCCCCACATTCCCCACACCTCTTCCTGGCGGATCCCAGCCAGTGGTGCCCCTGCTCTGCAGCCTCCTGCACACGGGCGCTACATTCTCAGAGACCCCCCGTCATTCCCTCGGGGCCCTGGTCCACTCCTCCTCGGTGCAAGTCCTGTCTCCCCATCTTGAGAAACAGTCAGTTACATTTATAAATACATTTTGAGCACCTGGTTTGTGCTTAGCACTTTGGCCAGCATGGAGGATACCAAAAAGAACCAGCCAAGCACTAAGGGCAGGCTCACGGTCATCAAGGGCACACAAGTCCCATCGGAGCTGGGACCAGATCCAGGTCTCAGAAGCCTGGTTGCGCTCTGGCCCCTGATTTCACTGACCCCGCTAAGGGCTTAGAACATAATCATGGGTTGACAGCTTCTTATGAAACGATCGCTAAGCCTCTCCCCCCAGCAGGGTTACTTACCATGGAGGCAAAGATGGGCAGGAACAGGGTGGTGGTGGCCACATTGCTTGTGCACTCAGTGAATATAGCAATGAGCGTAGACAAAATCAGGGTGATGAGTGCCGGGGGCAGAACGTGCAAGGGCTCCATCTGCTTCCCCATCCATTCGGACAGCCCCGAGGCCTGGGAAGCAGCAGGAGGACAGTCGCTGAAGGGCTATGGGCTTAAAGTTCCTCCAGGGCCGGGGGGACCCTCGTCCTTCTCTAGGGAGCTCAGCCCGTGCCCTCCTTATACTCTCTGCGTACACTCCGCAGGTGCCCTCATCCATGCCCAAGCTTCAACCTCCACCTTTATTCTGCTGTCTCCAAAATCTGGGTTTCTAGCCCAACTGGCCTGCTACCCAGATTTACACACCCATACTCCTAGGAATTTCTACCCAGATGTCCCGTGAGCATGTCGGACTCAACGTGCCCCAGCCTGCATTCATCCTCTCTAGCCCGGAGTCTGCCGCTCCGTCGGGGTTCCCCAGCTTGGTGAATGGACTCCCCATCCACCTGCTGTCCAACCTAGGAGACCAGGAGAGGTCCTGGGGATCTCTGTCCCCCTCATCCCTTCCACCCAAGCAGTCACCGAGGCACCCAAGACATCTCGTGTCCATTGTCTCCTCTCAGTCTCCCACAGTCCTTGAAACTCGGGAGAGAAATCTGAGCCAGAAACTGGGGATCTGGATTTGGTGCTTTGGGCTGAGAAGAGATGGTCCGGGGGAGAGAATGAAAAGTGAACAGAGACAAGGCCAAGGGCAGAGCCTGGAGGAACATGCATATTTCAGGGAGAAGAAAGGGAAAGTCAGTGAAGGAGGCTGTGCAGGAATAGTCCGAGTGAGAAGGAAACCAGGAGAGAGCGGTATCTTGGGGTTCGGGGGCGGAGAGAGTTTCAAGGAGAGAATGGTCCATGGAGTCCAGTGTCCTGAGACTGAGCTGGATGAAAGCTACGGAGCGTCTACAGGGTCTCCCTCACTCCAAACATCAGAGTGATCTTCCCCAAGTGCAGGTCTGGCCAAATCACTCTCTGGCCTCAACCCTTCGGTGGCTGCCCACTGCCTGCAGAATGAAGTCCACACTCCCTATCTGGAATTCAAGACCCTCATGAAGTGGCTTCTGCTAGCCTCACCTGCCTCATCTTCTGTTCCTCAGCTAGATACCGCACACTTGTTCCTTTACCGACATGTCACTTCTTCCCGAGATGCTCTTTCAGATATGTCCCCCTCTCTATAGTCTGTGAAGTCCTCAAGAACAAGGACCAAATTTTAATCTCCCCTGTAATTCCCATGCCTGGGCTCACAGGGACATAATGGAAATGTTTGGAGAATGAATGAATGACAGATAGATGGATGACTGACAGAGAAGTGACAAGATGGATGGATTTGTTCATCCAAAAAATATTCATGCACCTGCCATGCACCAGCTCTGTTCTAGATGCTGAGACAGACCCAGTCTATTACATTCTATTCCTGGATGGATGGACAGATGCATGGATGCATGGATGCATGGATGCATGGATGCATGGATGCATGGAGGAGAGCTGGTTCATCCCTCCCTCTAGCTCATTTCTTTCCTGTCAGGGAAGGGTAGAGGTAAAAAAGTTACACTTTTCCCCTAGCTACTTTGGCTCAGTGGTTAGAGTGCTGGCCTGCAGACCGAAGGGTCCCAGGTTCAGTTCTAGCCAAGGGCACGTACCTCAGTTATAGGTCCCATCCCCGGCCCCAGTCGGGGCACATTTGGGAGGCAACTAATTAATGTGTCTCTTTCACATCGATGTTTCTCCCTCTCTCTGAAAAGCAATGGGAAAAATATCCTAGGGTGATGATTTTTTTAAAAAGTTATATTTTTGGGGTGGCTTTTCCCAAAAGCTGTTTCTCTCCTTCTACACTGCGACATACTTAGCTAAAGAAATATTTTTTAATGGCAACCATATCAACAAAGGGTTCAGCAAGTAGAAGAACCAAAGGTAATGGTGGAAATATCCACAAGGCCTTGAAAGGAAGACTTCCCTAGAATAAATCAGAGTGAAGATCCTTATTACCAAGTCCTACCTCTCTTGGCTAACCAAGGGTGACTTAAATTCACTCATTTCGGTGATCACTCAAAGATCTCTATTCTAAGCACTATTAGTGGCACAGGGTTCCTAGATGACAAGACAGAGTCCCCGTCCTCAAGAAAGGTGCAGTTAGTGGAGGGGGCTGACACAGAGCCAGCCCAGGGGTGCAGGGGTGGAGGGATGCGGGAATTCTTTGGCCGCCCTCCTGGTGAAAGAGGGGGCTCTGAGCAGCCCACTACTGGAGAAGTTACCTCGCATCCTTTAGCCAGAGCAAATCCGCCCCCCAGCAGCAGCACAATGCCCCAGGGAACTCTCTCCTGGACCATCTTCCAATCCAGCAGTGCAGGTGGATAAAAGGGAGCCTTCCTTTCTGAGAAAAAACAATAAAAACATACAGAACCCAAGGCAGCCTTATGAAACAAAAAGAAAATCTAATCAATGGGAATAAAAGCCTGTAAGGACAGTGAGTACCATCCCATACCTATAAATTAGCTAAAATTTACAATAATTGCTACACCCACTGCTAGTAATAATATGGCAGAACTATGCCATGCTCCTGGTGGCATTAGAAATTGGTACAATCTTTTTGAAAAGGAATTTGGCAACACATTTAAGGGCCATTAAGACATCTGTAACCCAGCAACATCACTCCTAGAAACTTATCCCGAAGAAGAAACACCCTCAGAGGAAAAGCTATATTCATGAACACATTGATTCATAATAATGAAAATGTGAAAAGAGCCAGAAGGTTCCATTGCAGGGGAATGGTCACGGCCCCTCGATGCAATACAATGCCGTTGTTAGAGAAGGTAAGTCTGAAGACTGTAGAAAGAGCAGGATCTGTTTATAGAGTAACCCCCAAGCAAAAACGTGAAACCAGAACAGCAAAGCAACGGGATCAAATGGTGGGTATTGGTTATAGTCATATAACGTACGTGCTAATTAGCAAAGGCTGGGAGGAAGAGAGAAACCCCCAAAATACTGATGGTGTTATGGGAAATTCGAAACATTTTTCTGTGCCTGTTGCAATATTAGTAAGATTTCAAATGTTTAAAAAGCGAAAACGGAGAGGTTTTGCACTAAACAATACCCAGGGAAGGCTTGAAAAACCCTCTCTGCCCAGACTTTGTAATCTTGCTGGTCCTCTTTGACACAGTGGCTTTTCTCCTTCCTAAGCCCGGGGACCCCTCCGACAGCCTTTGCTGCCCGGGCCCCAACCCTGATCAATGAACAGAGGCCAAGACCGGAGCCTTACCTTCCTCAGTCTGACTGCAGAAGTTGAACTTGGGCTTCTGCGAAGGTACAATAAATAGTATCATGGTCACGAAGAGGGCCACGGTGGCATCGGAGACATACCTAGGCAGGGGAGACAGAGCAAGATGAGCCAACTTGGCTGCAGGACAAGCGATGTCACAAACCCGGATGGCCGCTCAGTGCTCCTACATGAGAAACAGGCTCGGCTGGGTCTGAAAGCTGGAGCCCCAAAGGCCAAGGTCAGGAGTGGCACGGTGGACTGAATCCTGGCTGGAAACCAAGATGCCCCCCCATTCTTGGCCTGGCTCTGCCACCAACGTTGGGCGACCCCGAGCAGCTCGCTTCCCTCTCACGTCCTGTGTTGCTCCATGGATGAATGTCATGAGCTCTTCTAGGCCAAATTCTCTAGAATTCTGGCTTCCCCAGGTGACCACGAGCAGACTTCAGAACGGCATCAGTCCCTCCCGACCCACACCTCTTGCCTTTTCTAGGATATGCATGTTTCTCAGCCTTTCTGCCATCTGACCGCCTGACACCTTAGCCAGGAGAGAAACTACATATATCCCCTTCCGCCAAGTCTGTGCCTAAAGAAGTGTCTGGATCCCAAGATCTGTGTCTTCAGATCCTTGCCCAGATCTGAAGAAAGATGAAGGAAAGAAGATGATGGAGGCGAGATCTGGAAACCAGAGCTCCGGGAGCCCCACTCTAGCCCAACAAATCTCTCTCAATCACAGCTCTGGCCACCAGCCTGGCCAAGCGGTTTCTGCTCTGCCACTTAGGGAAGGAGGGGCCACAGGGACATACCTGTGGGCTTGACCTAAAGACTGGTGATTTAAAAAATGAGTCAGGAAACAGCAGAGGGCGGCGGGACTCGACTGCAGAACAAGGGAGAGCCGCGGCGGGCGCCGCAGAGCGAATGACTTACTTTGTCTTTCCCTCCACCCAGGCGAGCGACATCCAGCCGGGCATGAAGCCGGGCTCCCGGGAGAACCACAGGCTGACCAGCAGGAAGAAGCAGAGCAGGACGTTGACCTCGGCAAAGGAGAAGGGCCCCAGCTTCCTGTACTCTTCCTGCAGCATCTCGTAGACGGCCTTCTGGCTATCCCTTTTCTGCAGCCTGCGGCCACAGGACTTTTTAAAACTAGAGGAGGCAAAGACAAGAGAAGGGGGGGCAGGTTGGTTGGCTCGGGGGCTGGTCGGATGGAAGCCTGAACGCTGGGCAGCAACATGTGGCAGAAAGGCCTGTGGCGCTATCACCTGGAGTGGGGATGCTGGAGCAAGTCCCTTCCTCACTCCCTGTTTCTCTCATCTGCCTACCATACCTCACAGGACCTGGTGGGGAAAGTCTCTGTTATGTGTGCCCAGCACATGCCCCAGAGTATCCCAGAACTACAAGATGCTCCCAGAGGAGGCCTGAGATGGCACAGGTATGGTAACCAGTCTGGGGGTGGGAAAGGATGAGTGGGAAGCTGAGCAGAAT